GTGAACAAGTGTTATGTTAGAACAAACAATGTCACCGCACAGTGTTTTTAACCAGGGAACCTCAGGGGGGAAAACCCGGCTTAGCTGGGATGGTATGATTTCGTATTTAGGATGGACGAGTGTGCATTACATATATGTATATATATATATGTGAAATTATATTATCCCAAGGGGAAGCGATAAGTCCGGGGGGGGTAGAGTCTATTTTTTTGAAAGGAGAACTCACTTGCGGAACTTGAAGTGGTCAACTCCACTGCTCGCGCAATCATCCCACCCGCAACTTGGTTTGCAAAACCCATGCGGGACCGAGCACAGATATCGCCCCGGGGTCGTCTTGGAGCCCTCGGGGGCGTCTCAAGAGCGCCCCAAGAAGCCTGGAGAAGCAAGACGGCCGACGACGACGACGACGACGGCGACGACGGCGGCGACGACGACGACGCCGACGTCGACGACGACGACGACGACGACGCCGACGCCGACGACGACGACGAAGATGACGACGACGTCGCCTACGAAGACGACGACGAGGGAGGAGGAAGGACGACGACTGCGACAACGACGACAACGACGACAACGAGGGAGGAGGGAGGACGGCGACGACGCGAACGACGAAGAAGGAGGAAGGACGGCGACGCCGACGACGGCAACGACGAGGGAGGAGGGATGACGACGACGACGACAACGACGACGGCGACGACGACGACGAAATAGGAGGGACGACCACGAGACGCCGACGACGGACGACGACGACGAGGGAGGAGGAGGAAGGACGACAACGGCGACAACGACGACGGAAACGACCACGACGCCAAAGAGGACGAAGACGACGAACACGAGGAAAGACAGAGGACGACGTAGGCGACGACGACGACGACGACGCGGGAGCAGGGAGGACGGCGGCGACGACGACGACGACGACGACGACGCAAGAGCGCGCGCGCACGCTTTTGTTGAAAATCCGTGTTGCGAAACCTTGTGTTTTTGTATGTTTTTTGGACGCGCGAATTTGAAATCCTTCCAAAACCATTGGGTTTTGAAGGATTTCGGCGTAGGCGCGCGACGACGCGCGCGTCTGCACTTCGTCCAATTTTTTTGCAGAGGATTCTGGCGACGGCACACGCGCAAGGGCGTTCGACAGATTTCGACATGCGCGCGCGACGCCCGTTTGGTAGCATGTTGTGAAAAAAACTTGACAAACCGATGATTTTCTCAAGATTTCGCAACAGCCCGCGCGGAAGCTTGTTTAGCGAATCAGTGTTGCGAAACCTTGTGTTTTTGCATGTTTTTGAAGTCTCGATTGCGAACCCCTTCCGGCACGGAAGGTTTTTGAAGGATTTCGGCATGCGCGCGCGACGACGCGCGTGTGTGCTCTTCGTCAATTGTTTTGCAAGGGATTTGCGAAAAAAGTGTTATGTTAGAACACGAAAATGTCATCGCATATTTTTTAACAATGGAACCTCAGGGGGGGAAACAGGGGTTGGCCTGGGTCATTGCGATGTCATTTTTAGGATGGACATGTGGTCAGAATCATATGTGATTTACATACCCGAAAAGGGGTAACGATAACGGCGGGGGGGGGGGGTAGAGTTTTTTTTTATAAAAAAGGATTAATTTCTGTTCGCAGTGAGTTGCCCACTCCACTGCTCGCGCAAACATCCCACCCACCCACCCGCAACTTGGTCTGCAACATCTCTTAAGACCGTGACGGTACGGTGGGTAGCGATAGCGCCGGGGGGAGGGATAGCGATAACGCCGGGGGGGGGGGTACACCTTTTTTTTTTTGAAAGGAGAACTTATGATGCGCAGGCTATGTCGAGCAACATCTGTGGTACAATAAATTTGCTGTGCAATCTATGGGCTTCAACATCTGTTGTGCAACCGATGTGGAACAATCTATGTGGTGCATTACATGTGGTCCAACCTACGTAGAGCAATATATGTAATGCAATATATGTGGTGCAATAGATGAGGGGCAATCAGTGTTGTGCAGTTTTCGTTGTGCAGTAAAGCAAGCTATATGGTCCAACGCATGTGATGCAATCTTGCTGGTGCAATCGATGTCGTGCAATCGATATTGTGCACCTCGTGTGGGGGATCTCTGTGGTAGAACCGATGTGGTGCCATCGATGGTGTGCGATCTGCGCGAAGCACTGATATGGTGCAACCTGCGTGGTGCAGAACATGTTGTTGTGCAGTCTTAACGGCGGCGATGAGCGGTGACGAGAGCCGGCGGGGCGGCGACGGCGACAACACATCCGACAGACCGACAGACAGGCCCGGCCGACGGGCGGCAACGAGCCAGCGACGGGGCGGCCATGGCGGCCGCATGCCCGCTAGACGGAAGAAAAGACCCGGACGACGGGCGGCGTCGAGGTGGCGACGGGGCGGCCACGGCGGCCACATCGCCGCCAGACCGAAGACACGGCCCATTTCCGCAGAGCACACGCACGACTATTTCAGTGCAGCCACTGTTTTGGGGATAGCTGCAGGTGCACACATGCATATACATGTGGCGTCCGAAACCCGGATAGTCCAGAGCGCGGAGCATGCTTATGCGAGACGTGAGCAAGGGTCTTGGAATGCATGCTTGGAGAGCTTGCAGGGCGAGAACACGCCTCTGCGAGACGCTTGCCAGGGCGCTGGAAAGCACGCCCGGGCAGCTTGAAAGCTTCGGACGCAAGCTTGGCGGGAGCTCCAAGGGAGCTCGTAGCCCGTAGAGATCAATCCGTGTATACGTATACATATACATACATATATATGTATACATCTACACATATATATATATATGTGTCGATCTGCATATACATATACATACGTATATACATACAAATATGTATATGTGTATATTAGTGTGGACCCGTGGATTAAATCCACGAAGTTGAGCGGATCGAAGGTTGGTGGCGCGCGCTGGGTGGCGCGACCTTGTCACGGGTTGCTGTAGGTTCTTTGAGGCTTTTCCCGATGAGTTTCCCATCCGAGTGTGTCCAATGCGCTGGGGCGGGGCCCGAGGTGTTCGGGCTCCGCGAAAGCGAGATATTGAAGAGTCCCTCTGGGCCGTCCTGTGCCCTCTTGGACCGTCATCCGGGTCCGTTTGGGAGACCGTTGGGCCATCTCGGGGCAGTCTTGGAGGCCGCTCGGGCCGTCTTGGAACATCGGAAAGCTGAAAAGGCGAGAACGCCAAACACTTTGGAAGCCATAGGAAAATCAATGATTTTGGCCTGTCGAGGCCCTCGCTGGAGGCCTCGTGGAAGCCATTTCGGCCGTCTTGGCGGCCTCTTGGGCAGTCCTGGGGCCATCTTCAGCCGTCTTCGAATGTTCTTGGGCCCTCTTGGAAGCCTTGTGGGCCCTCGTGATGCCTTCTTGAGCAGTCTTGGGGCACCATTGGGGGCCCCTTGAGCCATCTTGTGGTGGACTTGGAGGCCTCTCGGGCAGTCTGGGAGCGTCGGAAAACTGAAAAGGTGAGAACGCCCAAAACCTGCCAAAACCATCGGACAAGCAATGACGTTGGCCTCTCGGGGCCCTCGCTGGAAGTCTCTTGGAAGCCACTTCGGCCGTCTTGGCGGCCTCTTGGGTAGTCCTGGGGCCATCTTCGGCCGTCTTGGAGTGTTCTTGGGCCCTCGTGGGCGCCTTCTGGGCCGCCTTGGTGCCTTTGTGGGCCGTCTTGGGGCCATTTGGGGGGCCTCTTGAGCCATCTTGGAGCGGTCTTTGAGGCCTCTTGGGCTGTCTAGGAGCGTCCGACAGCTGAAGCGGCAAGGAAGCCCAACATCTGTAAACCTATTGAAAATCAATAATTTGGGCCTCTCAGGGCCCTCGTGGGAGGCCTCTTCGAAGCCTCTTGGGCCGTCTTGCGGACATCGTGGGCTGTCCTGGGGCCATCTTCGGCCGTCTTGGGGTGCGCTTGGGCCCTCTTGGGCGCGTTTTGGGCGGTCATGGGGCCCTCTTGGGCCGGCTTGGGTCCCTTTGGGGGGCCTTGAGCCATCTCGGGGTGGTCGTGGAAGCCTCGCGGGCCGTCATGGAGCCTCGAAACGCCGACTCGGCGAGGAGCTCCGAAATTGCAAAAAGCCGTAGGAAAATTAATGATTTTGGCCTCTGGGGACCCTCGGGGAAGCCCTCTTGGAAGCCTCTTGGGCCGTTTTGTTGGCCATCTTCGGCGTCGTTGGGAGTTTGGAGCGCGTCGGGTTCCCTTGGAGGATTCTTCCGAGGTGTTCTGGGCCCGTTGGGAAGCGATCGGGGCCCCTGGTGCCGTTTCGGGGGCCCCGAGCTGGGGGCCCACGCACGCTCACAAAGCTCTTTACGGATTTATTTGGGGGGGCCGAGCGGTCATTCATTATCCTTGGGTGCGTGGCTGAAGTGAGAATCCGTGGTGAGGATTCTGCTCGTTGCGTTGTTATTGTTGTTGTTTCTGTTTTTGTTGTTTGTTGTTGTCATCCCCACCCGCGACCCACCCGCGACCCACCCGCGACCCACCCCGCGACAAACCCCGCGACCCACCCCGCGACCCACCCGCGACCCACCCCGCGACCCACCCCGCGACCCACTTGCGACCCACCCCGCGACCCACCCGCGACCCACCCGCGACCCACCCGCGACCCACCCGCGACCCACCCGCGACCCACCCCGCGACCCACCCGCGACATACCCACGACACACCCGCGACCCACCCCGCGATCCACTTGCGATCCACCCCGGGACCCACCCGCGACCCACCCCGTGACCCACACGTGATTTACCCGCGACCAACCCGCGACCGATCCACATTGGTTTGAAGATAAAATCGGCACCGTGGCGGGCTCGTTGTGTAATTTGTGAAATTTTGACGCCTGCGGCGGGCTTCTCCAGAGTCTCGCAGACCGCTCACGCCCCCACCGCCCCTTCACTCTTATCCGCATCTACGGGGTGCTACATCTATGCGTTGTGCTTGCACATTAATGATCTCTTGCTGCGTTCAGTGCCGTATGTTGTACTTGTGCTCAAGTTTTTTCCAGGAGAGGTTTTCCCTGATGGGGGCGCAGTCCGCCCTCATCGAGACCTTCCAGTCTGCAGGAATCCGTGCTCTCGAGCTGCTGGCGCTGCGCCAGTCCCTGATCTCGGCGGTGCCCCAGTGCCCCGCGGTCTCGCTGGCGTGCCCGCCCGCGAACGTCTCTTGCCCCGTCCAGGTCTGCCCAGCGCTGGCCTGCCCGACCCCAGCGTGTCCCGTGCCGCTGGTGGATCTCTCCTGCCCGCCTGCAGGAGCGGAGCTCGTCCCTGACGGGCTCGACATCCCCTCGGCCTGCTGGGGATACCTGGCAGGAGCCTCTGCGGGGCTCGGGCTGGGCGGCGCACTCTGGCGGCGGGGCGGCCGCGTCGACGCCGAGGCGACAGGGGTCGGAGATCGAGCGCGAGAGCAGCTGCAGCTGATCAGGAGGCGCAATGGCGAGAGTAGGTGACTACGTGCTCTTCCAGTATGACCTGCCTGGGGCGCCGGTGTATCATGAGAGGCTCGTGACAGGGGTCTCGATTGGGGATCCAGGTCTTGTCAGCACGTTCTCGCCAGACGGGGACCACTACGCCGAGTACACGACGTCCGACGACCTCAGAGATGTGCGGTGGTCGGGAGCGCAGGGCGCCACCCCCCCTGGGGTCAACCCCGCCCACGTCTACCGCTTCCGACAGGTGCCAACGGCGGCCGAGGTCCAGCAGCTGATCCGCGAGGGCTCGCTCCTGATCGGGGGGGTGGCGCCGCTTGCTGCCGCTGTTCCTGCCGCCGCAGCGGCGCCCGTGGCGGCTCCCCCCGCGGCGGCCGCACCGCAGGGGGCCATCGTGCCTCGAGGCGCTGGCGTGGTGGGAGGGGTCCCCCGCGCCGGGGCCGCGGCCGCCCCCACAGTGGCTGGCACAGTTTGGCTGGCTATTGAGGACTTCCAGGGGATGCGGCGCGGCGAGCAGATGCCTGATCCTCTCCCTCAGGGTGCCGTCGTACACGGGGAGATGGCGCTGGTGCCTCATGGAGGGGGCTTCGTCGGAGCGCGCCAGGTGGCCCTAGCCGACGTGGATGCCTTCGTCGTGGACGACCTGCGCGTGCTGCCTGTGCGTTTCAACCAGCAGGGGGCGCGCCGTCGCCCTTACAGCGAGGCCGTGGACATGCAGATCGTGGATGAGCCTGAGGGAGGCATCATGCTGCAAGGCCCTCGCACTACGGATTGGGTGCTGAGGTCGTATCGGGATGCCGGGCTCACGCCAGTCACTCACCACTCGAACTGGCTGAGGTCGGCTCGCATCCCTGATGGAGATCGTTCAGTTCACGAACACGAGGTGCTGTGCCATGTGCTGGAGGCAATCGTGACCGTGGACCAGCTCAACGCCCCTGCGCTCCAGAGCGCCGAGCTCGTCGTGCGTAGGATCCAGGTCATCGAGGATGCTCACTCCGCCTCGCCCTCGAACCCAGACTACTCCGCGGCCGATGAGTTCATGGGCTGGGCCACGCATCGCCAGGGCGCCGCCGTCGCGCCCGACCTGCAGCGCCACGTGGCCGCGGGCATGCGCGACAGGGCAGCGATTCTCAAAGAGGCTCGCAAGGCGAAGGAGGAGCAGAAGCTGCGCCGCGGCAAAGGGGGCAACAGGACCGACGCCAGCGGTACTGGCGGGCAGGGATCATGACGGCTCCCAGTCGCGGGGGCTGGCCGGCCCGCGACGTGCACAAGGCCTGTGGTAGTGACAGTGGACGCCCTCCTGGGCTGAGTGCAGCGGACGATCGCCAGCGTGATCTGTTCCCGCTGCCCTCCATTCAGCCGACTCCGCCTACTTCTGCGCCAGCGTCTACGTCGACGAGGCGAAGGCTGGCACATAGGCGGCAGACGGAGCAGTGTGCCAATGATGCCATTGCGGGCCTCAACGCTCTCCATCCTCCGTGCGAGCAGCGTGGGCCCATCACGGCGGCTCAGCGGCTTGCTACCGCCACCATTTTGAACGAGGTCAGAATGGCCCCGAAGTCTGACACTCACGTTTCTCGCCGTGGAGCCGCGAAGGAGCTCCTGGCCTCCAGCCTGTCCTACACCGCGGACGAGGCACCGAGTCCCGTGGTAAGGTACGTCAGATCCCGAGTCGACATCCCAGAAGTGGGTGCGGTCATACCTCCTGTTGAGTCGGTGCTCGACGGGATCGGGAGGAGCTACGTGCTGGACTACGAGCAAGCCATGTTGAAGACTCCTGACGAGTGGTCCCGCGTCTTGGATAGCGAGCCGCCCGTCACCCCCTACATGGATGAAGTTTTGAAGCGTGACCCAGTGGCATACCACACTTTCATCGGCGACCTGGTGAAGGCTAACATGCTGGGTTTCACGTACCGCCCGAAGGATTTAGTCACTCCCTTTTTCGTGGCCAAGAAGAGTGGAGCGCAGCGTCTAGTGTGGGACGCTAGAGTGCCAAATCGACGTTTTCGCGACCCGCCGCCGCTGGCCATGGGGACATCGGCGGCGTACGGTCGCCTACAGCTACCTGATGATCGTAAGGAGGACGGCAGCTTCAACACCAAGCTTTTCTGCGCCCAGGCTGACGTGCGCAACTACTTCTACGCTCTCGGCCTGAGGGAGGAGCTGGGACTGTTCTTCTCGCTGCCTCCGGTGTCGCAGGCTTCGTTGTCGCAATGGGGGGTTGAGGCAGTGGGCACTCCCGAGGGCCCCTCGGGGGGCTGGGTGTGGCTGTTCCTGCGGGTCGTTCCGATGGGCTGGTCTTGGGCTTTCTGGCTTGGGCAGCGTGCGAATGCGCACGTCTGCTGCTCTGCCTCGGGGCTCGGGTTCCCGCGGGTGCTGACCGATCACGGTCCGGTGCCCCCGCTCGACGGGGGGGTCCCTTGCCTCCTCCCCTATTGCGATAACATCAACGTCATCGGCACCGACCCTGTCAGATGCAATGTTTTGATGCACCAGATCTGCGACGCCTGGAGGAAGCATGGCGTGCAGATTCACGAGGTGGTCGAGGCCACTGACGTCTTCACCAGCCTCGGCCGTCTGATCGACGGCGCGTCTGGGCGAGTTTTCTCACGGCCCGAGCGCTCCGAGCGCCTCCGCCAAGCTTCACTGTGGCTAGAGCAGCGCCCTAGAGTCACGGGGAGGGAGGTGGAGAGGTACGTGGGTCATCTCATTGATCATCTGATGCTGAAGAGGGAGCTGCTCTCGATCCTCAGGAGTTTATATGATTTCGTCAGAGAGTGCTATCACGTGCGAGCCCGTCTCTGGCCCTCGGCTGCCCGCGAAGTCGAGCAGTGCCGTCGCCTGCTGCCGCTGATGTCTGCCAACCTTCGGCTTCAGTGGTCGCCGACGGTCTTCGCTTACGACGCGTGTTTGACGGGTATGGCCACGTGTCAGACAACACTGTCATCAGATCTTGTCAAGCGCATCGGGTCAGTCAGTGAGAGATGGAGATATCGCATGCCTTCGGCTATCTCGGCACGCCGTTCTGCTCTGGGAGTCCGTTCTGGAGGCCATGAGGCCTCGGAGGGGCCGTTCGACGTCTTCAGCGACATCGAGACCGTCAAGGCCCCCAAGAGCACCAGCATGGACCTCATCAAGGACCCCTGGGAGCTCAACCCGCAGTTCACAGAGGTGCCCGTACAGGCTCTGCAGGGCCCCCAGTGGAAGCAGGTGGTCTCGGCCAGGGTTCACGTCAAGGAGCCCATCACTATTATCGAGGGGAGGGCTTCGAACATGACATCTCGTCATATCACAAGGGCCCAGGCCTCCTTTGGTCTCCGACATCTACGTTTTGGGAACAACCTCGGCACAGTGCTCGCGCTCGGACGTGGGCGATGCTCCTCCTATCCCCTTCTGCTGTGCTGCCGCAGAGAGGCTGCCTACTCCGTCGCCACTGCGTCGCGGTTCGAGCATCGGTGGATACCTTCGGAGCTCAACCCCTCCGATGAGGGGTCGAGGCGCTGGGATGCCAAGTCGGGAGGTGTCCCGCCTGCCCCGCGCGGCGTCCGTCAAGCGCCCAGCTGCCAGCCCCAAGATCGTGCAGAAGAGCTTTTTGAAGGGCAGGCCGTTTGTTGGGGCGACGAAGGAGGAGAGGATTGCTCACCGTCTGCGGGCCTCTGGGCCGTTCACGATGGTGGGGGAGGACGAGAGGAGCTTCCTGGAGTGGAACGCGGTGGCGCCCGAGACCCAGGCAGACTACAAGGACGCCCTCGACGACTTCCAGACGTTCGTGGACCTTTTCGAGCTGCCGCTGCACACCGCGGCTCAGGTCGACCTGGCGCTGATGAACTACGCCGATTACGCCTGGAGCATCGGGCTCGAGAGAGCCGCCGTCCTGAAAACCTATGCCGCGTACATCTCGGCGCACCCCGACTTTTCCCGAAAGGGGTCGCTCCGCCTGCCGCGTTTCTGTCGGGCCCTCCAGGGTTGGAGGCGCCTGGACCCAGGCCAGACGCGCCCGCCCATGCCCTGGCAAGTGGTCGCGCTGGTCGCGCTGGCGATGGCCACGCAGCTGGGGCCCCCGCGCGCGGCGCTCATGGTGGTGACGATGTTCTGGGTGTACCTCAGGCCCTCCGAGGCCGTCGGCCTTCGCGAGCAGGACCTCTTCCTCCCCTCGGGCTCGTGCACGGACTACGGCTTCAACCTGCACCCCAGCGCGAGGGGCGAGTACAGCAAGACCAGCTTGTCGGACGAGAGCCTGCTCCTCGATTCGGTCGAGGTGCCCTGGCTGGGCCCGCTGCTGGCGCGCGCGAGGTCGGGGGACCCGCAGGCGCCGCTGTTCCGTCTCACCGCCGCGCAGCTGGGCGTCATGTGGCGTCAGTCGCTGGAGCTGGCCGAGGTGCCCCAAGTACGTGCCCTACCAGCTCCGCCACGGTGGCCCGTCGCACGATCGCCTCAAGAGGTATCGTTCCATGGGCGAGATCAAGAGGCGCGGGCGGTGGGCCAGCGACTACACGATGAAACGCTACGAGGCCCACGCGCTGGCGCAGCAGGAGCTGGCGGCACTCCCAGTCGACGTCCGCCGCAGGGCCGAGGCGGCGCCCGCGAAGCTGCACGCCGAGCTCGAGAGGCTCCTGGCGCGGCCCCAGAGGCCGCGGACGGCCACGCCGTCGGCGCGGCTGCAGGCGGCACCTGTACCCAGCATGCGCCGCCCCGCACCTTCTGCCAAGGTGCCGCGGCCCGCGCCCGTGCCAGGCCGTTCGTCGAGCTCATGTGCGGCTCCGCCACCTTGGCCAAGGCCGTCCACGCCGCCGGCTGGGCTTCGGAAGGCTGGGACTATGCTGACGACCCGCGAGCCGACCTTCTTGATGAGTCCCTCGTCGACAGTCTGGTTTTGAGGATCTCACGGAAGGAAGTCGCAGGGGTGCATGTCGGCCTGGACTGCAAAACGTGGAGCCGGGCAAGGAAGAACGATGGACAGGGTCCGCCGCCGCTCAGGGACGATGCGAATTTGCACGGCCTACCTCTGCTGGCGGCGGCAGACGCTGAGAAGGTGAGGATCGCCAATCGTCTGCTCGCTAATGTTCTGCGCCTGCTGGCGGCGGCCGTCGAGGCGGGAGTCCCCTTCTCTCTCGAGAGCCCTCGCACGTCTCGCCTCTGGCTGGTCCCAAAGCTGCTGGACATGGCCCGCGACGCTCACGCCGAGTGGGCTTATGTTGATTATTGCCAGTATCAGGTCCCCTGGAAAAAGGCGACTACCTTTTTGCTTTTCAATTGGCTGCCAGCGCAGCCTTCCCTCCGCCTGTGTTCAGGCTGTCAAAAAAGGTGTAGTGCAACAGGTAAGGCACACATAACGCTGAAGGGTAAAGACCCGCTCGGTGTGTTCTGGACTTCAAGGGCGTGCCCTTACCCCGCGGCGCTCTGCAAAGATCTAGCAGCGCTGGTGGTGGCCAAAGCCAAGACACTGGATGGCAGTGGGTAGGGGCTCAGAGTCTTGAATGCCGCTCGCTCAGTCCGTTCAGGTCAGCGCCATCGTGCTGCCCTGTCACCGCCTGCCGCTCGTTCTCTTGATTTGCTTCGAAGCAGCGGAGCATGCCGAAGGAAAATTGATCTTGGCACGGGTAGCAGCCTAAGCTCATGCGTTGTGCTTGCACATTAATGATCTCTTGCTGCGTTCAGTGCCGTATGTTGTACTTGTGCTCAAGTTTTTTCCAGGACCCGCCTGCCGTCCCCATCTTCCACCTGCCTGGGCGTCACTTCGCCCCGCAGGGGGCTCAGAGTCTTGAATGCCGCTCGCTCAGTCCGTTCAGGTCAGCGGGGTAGCAGCCTAAGCTCATGTATAGATTTGTTTATGCATACGCACATACATGCCTACATATACATACATACATACATACATACATGCATGCATACATACATACATATATGCATACATGCATACATACATACATACATACATACATACATGCGGCCGGCAGGGCCGGCAGCGGCCGGCCCTGCCGGCCGCTGCCGGCCCTGCCGGCCCTACCGGCCCTGCCGGCCCTGCCGGCCCTACCGGCCCTGGCCCTACCGGCCCTGCCGGCCCTGCCGGCCCTGCCGGCCCTGCCGGCCCTACCGGCCCTGCCGGCCCTGCCGGCCTTGCTGGCCGGCCTTGCCGGCCCTACCAGCCCTGCCGGCCCTGCCGGCCTTGCCGGCCCTACCGGCCCTGCCGGCCCTGCCTGCCCTGCCGGCCCTGCCGGCCCTGCCGGCTTTGCCGGCCCTACCGGCCCTGCCGGCCCTACCGGCCCTGCCGGCCCTGCCGGCCCTGTCGGCCCTGTCGGCCCTGCCGGCCCTGCCGGCCCTGCCGGCCCTGCCGGCCCTACCGGCCCTACCGGCCCCGCCCTGCCGGCCTTACTGGCCCTACCGGCCATGCCGGCCCTGCCGGCCCTGCCGGCCGCTGCCGGCCCTGCCGGCCCTGCCGGCCGCTGCCGGCCCTGCCGGCCGCTACCGGCCCTGCCGGCCGCTTACCGGCCCTGCCGGCCTCTGTTTTTTTCTGGGTCGCCGAGGCGGCTCCGCCCTGTGGCACAAGAACATCAAGAACGCCGTCCTCGCGAGCATCATCAAGACGGGGAGCCTCGAGGGCATCAAGTATGAGGGCATCGTCCACCGCAAGTACAAGCGGCGAGGCGAGCTGCTCTGCGCGATCTTTTACAAGACGCACGTCGAGCAGAGCACCGAGATGCTCGACGGCTTCGACGACCAAGACACGAGCGTCGAGAAGTTGTTCGGCATTTTGCCGAGCTTCCGAGCGGAGCTGCACGACGAGGCCAAAACGCACGACGCTTTTCTCGGCGATAAGGCCGAGAAGATGCCCGAGGGAGCCGCGACCGAGGTCGTCAAGCAGGCCCTCGGCGAGGCCCCCCAAGATCTGCAAGCGCTGCACGAGGCGACGCCCCCAGTGGACAAGCAATTCAAGCCGCTCTTGCCGAGCGGCAGCGCCGAGCAGGGCAAGGGGCAGTTCGAGTCGGTCGCGGTCGTGCCAGAGAAGGCAAAGAACTACTTCGACGCCTTCAAGCAGTTTTGCCTCGAGGATCAAGCAAACGAGCGCATCTGCATCGCGAATGCCATCGTTGCGCG